GAATTCCTCCACTTGAGGCAAAACATTCCCAATCCAGAGAGGGCAATGTACCCTGACTGAGGACCACTACCTCTGATTTGGAGATGCTGATCCTCATCAGATAGTGTCCAACTTACTACCGGCAATGTGAGCCAAGCGCTCGCACCACTTGTATAGGGACCGAACAGATGGTAGCAACAGAAACACAATCCCATACTCACGGAGCACCCCCTACAGCGTACCACAAGGAACACAATCGATCGCCTTCTCCAAGATCACAAAACATAAGTAGACTTGTTGCAAACTCCTAAGACCCCTCGAGGACTCTAGTGAGGGTAAAAAGCTTATCTAGTGTTCTATGACCAGGACAAAACCTGCATTGTTCCTCCTGAATTTGAGGTTCAACCACTGATCAGACTCGCTTCTTCAGTATCCCTGAATCATTCTTACCGGGGAGGCCAAGTGGTGTGATGCCCCTGTAATTGGAACACATAATCCAGCCCCCTTTTTGAAGAGGGGAACCAACACCCCAGTCTGCCAATCCAGTGGCACTGACTTGGATGTCCATGGAATGTTGCAAAGCCTGCAACATCCAGTCTTGAGGAACTCAGGGCAGATCTCATCCACCTTTGCAAATTAATTGTTATGAATAAATCAGGCTCCAGCATAATAACTACAGTAGCTCTCATTTCACAGTTTTCAGAAAATCTTTTTTTTTGTTTACAAGAGTTCTTTTGGAGTCAACTTAATTCAAGCTGACTACCACAGCTAATCAACATTAGGAAACACAAATATCACAGTCATTTTCACAGCTATTGAGCTAACATTTCTCAAACACATGGACATCTTTGTTAAAGACTTGATGTGCAAAAAGGCTGGAGACATAAATTCCTTCAAGGAATGATACTTTTATTTATGAATATGAATTTAAGACAAACAAGATGGTTCCCTCACTCCAGTATTGCAGTATTTTTTAAATTAGGCCTACATATGATAATATAATAAAACACTTTAAATACTACAGGATCATCAGTGGCTGCATCTGGCCACCCTTTTGAAACTGTTCTAGAGGCACCCTGACATTGATTTTCTTAGTTTGCATAAAGTTTAATGGATGCTACCTCATCCTACCTCCCACTCTCCTTTTTCTTTTTTTTTAACCAGTTTGTGTCCAAACTTTTTCATATACAGGTCCAAACTGTCAAAATGAAAATATGTGCCTACTTCAAAAATTGGAATTCAAGATAAAAACAAACAAAAAAAAGACTTTTTTGTTATAAAAATAAAAACAACATCAGTGTGAACAATATGTTGGAGAAATGACAAATGTACGGTAAATAAGTAAATAAAATAATTAATAATAGACATAGGTTAATAATGTATGTAGTAACATTACATATTTTGAGAAGATTTTTTTTCTCACCTGTTTTTTCTGTTAAACCTAAAAATTATATATATTAAAAAACAGTTCACTATTAAATTAGCATAAGGTGTACATCTGCATCAACCTCTCAAAATTGAAGGCCAAAGTTATACCATTCTTAAATTGTAGTCATGGGCCACATAAAACCATCTTGAGGGCTGCAAATGGCCTTTGGGCGGCAATTTGGACACCCCTGTTTTAAACCATTCTCCAACCATGACAAAGTGTTCAGCATTGGCAAATATGGTACCTCAGAGTTTTTAAAATCTAAGCTAATCTGTAACGCTCATCAGCAAGATTAATTTTTTGACATGTCACAAACCATTTAGTTCATCGGTTTATCATGGGGTGCGCAAGCCATGGACAAACTTGTTACAAACAATAAATCCTCATTCAGTGCCAGATATGTCTGATCAGAAGTGGAATAAAGTGTGACGTTTTCAAGTTGGGGATGGACTTTTGTGATTTATTAAAAATAATTGTTTCAACCCCAAACACGATGCTTTGAATCCTGTTTTCTTTGGTTTAAGTTCCCAAACACACATGTTGGAGCCATGAATGAGATTGTTATACACTCGCTTATTGCTGGATTTTTGGATTGCTGAATGTTCTATCTCCACAAAAGATTCTGCGTCTTCTTGGATATTTCATTTAATGTTATTTGTGTTTGCAATGGAGAAATACATCCAGATGTGAGAGTCATCCTGCTTTGCTTTAGTACTGTTAAGCCCTGCTTTAATCCTCCTCTGAGCTCCACTTGTTGACTCCATCACTGTAGTTAAGGCTAGCTAAATATTACAGGAGATGCTAAGGTTCTGGTTTAATTTTTAGTACATGCTGCCGGCCACAGACACAATATTAAAGATCCATCATTCCTCTACAGAATGCATATCACATGCTGCTTTTCATGTCAGGGGTTTTAAACTAAGAGCTATTATAATGAGAAATGATGGCGTTAAACTGTAAACAGTTTGGTCAAACCTTCAAAATAACTGTGCGTTCATGTGACTGTGATTTCTAATGTGATCTTGTATGATCTGTTAATGCTAGGAGCGTATGTTGTGAATAACTGTGAGATTCTACAACAACAGACTTCAGCTCTGTGTCTGTAAAAGTCACTGAGATTTAACAATTTCATTGTAGGATCATGTCAGTTTGCATTTTCTACATCCAATGATTACTTTCAGAGTTTCACTGAACTACGTCCAGTGGATTTTGAGGTATTTTGCTAACAGACAGACAGGGTGCCAACAGTTTGTTTGAACTATGTGATGGGGACGATGTTCAGATCCTATCACACCAGAATTTAACTCTATGTAAAATTATGTGAGTTATAACCTACGTTGTGTTTTCTAAGACCAGGTTGCTGTAGCGGCCATCTTAAAATGTATTGCGCTTAAAAGATAATCACTTAAAGATGTACATAAATTGAATATTTTTTGAAAATTTCTTTAAAATCTATTCAATGTTTCATAAGATATTTCGTCAAGAAACATAGTTGCTTTCAACAGTTAATGAGAAAGTTTTAAACACAACTTTCTTGCAACCAGTTAGCGATTAAAGTACATTTTGTGGGTGATGCTCAGCTACCAGCACAACAAATTTTATCTTATTGTCTGTAATAAGTGATTTATAAACAGCTTTCTGTTTGTTCAAATCACTTTGTTCTGGCAGCCATATCGGATCAGATTGATTCCAAAAGTTTTTTTAGTTGTCAATATTCAAATAATGATTACTTTCTGAATGTTCCAATAAAATCTATTCAGTGAGATATGCAATATTCTGCAAATAGTACAACACACACACAAAGCAAAAACATCATCACTCTGTCTTTGACTCTGGCAGCTGGTAATAAAAAATACTCATACTGGCGTCCACTCTCGTGAATCAACTAGAAGACAACTTGGCGACTGGTTAAAAGAACGATGGAGTTCTTTTGGTTCAAAAGCATCCAAGCTTGTTTGCAGCAGTGCAAAAAGTTAGCTTCGTTTTATTGGGCTTGGTTGCAAAAACGAGTGTAATTGCATTTATTTCCTCTTTATTACACGAGTATTAAGACTCCATTATAAAAGTTCTCTTTTAACAAATATGTCTTCTCATAAACCTTTATCACTGTGAACATTGTACTTGGAAAGTATTTTTTTTACCCCAACATCATTGAGGATTTGTTGCTATAAACTACTAAAGTAATGCTGCTGACATACTGGTTGAAGTGAGAGAAAAGACAGAGAGGGAGAGGGAGGCAGACAGAGCACACCCATCCTGAAGTGAGCAAAGCAAACTTTCAAGAAGAAAGTCGCCCAGATGCCACGCGTGGGAGGAAGCCCTTATTTATTTATTTATTTATTATTTCTGTTTATCGGGCTGTCGGTAATTTATTCCGAACGCGCCGTTTTAAAATACTACCCCCTACCCCTCATCCATCTTTCTTCCTCCCAGATTGGGGGGTGGGTGGGGAGGCAACTGCGACAAGGTTGCATATTCCTTTCTCCCATATTGCCTAACAAATATCTAAGAAGGGGTGGGGGTAGGTGGTTTTGGGGGGAGGCAGGAAGCGCAGCGCTTTTTGTTCTTTCTCAAGCGCTGAACTGAGACAAAGAGGTATGGAAGGATTTGCTGCTCTGTGCTTGTACCTGCTTAACAGTCGGAGGTTGGTTCCTTGCACAGTGGGTTGCAATACAAGTAAAAGCAAACAGTGGTGTGCTCCTACACACACAAACACACACCCTCACACACCCACACATGAGAGAATGCATGCAAACACCACTCTCACCACAGGTTTAATTTACAAAGATTAAAGTATGCAGTGTGTCACGTTAACACAAACTCACTCACGCACACGAACACGCACACACACACACACACACACACACACACACACACACACACACACACACA